TTTTTTTTTCATCCACCCTGATCTCCCTGCCTCTCTTCCCCCCTGAGCAGGAGCACTGGGACATACAGGAGACAAGACAGGATTAGGAGAAATCCCTATAATGAGAGGATGCACGAAGGGTGGGAGTATCAAACATAAAGTGAGGTAGTGTCCCAGCTGGCTGGGAGGGCAACCTCTGCTGTGTGCCGGGATCTGGAGCAAGATGGGAATGCATGCAGGTCACCCAGGGCAGAGGCACCATGGCAAGGTCTCGGCCAGGGGAGACAGGACTTCCCTAGGGAGCTCGGAACTAGGAATTGTTCGAAACGGAAACAACAAAAATATCCTCAGTGGTCTCCCTGACTTCCAGCTTCCAGACAGCTGTGCACTGGGGCCAGCTTGGAGGGCCTGGGATGTCCCTGCTCCCCATCTCTGTCACCGCTCCTATCCACGACTATCTTTGTCCCTCATTAGCGCAACACGTTGAGGAGAGAGCGGCACCTCGCTGGCACAAAGGCCTCTCTGAGCTCTTCGAACTAAGCTGTAGAGCAGTGGAGGATGGGCGCCTCGGGCTTGTGCTGCTGCCAGGCCCGCTGCCCTCCCGGGCTCTCTCCGTGCCACTGCCCCCACCCGACCCCAGGGACCAGTGGCTGTCCCGCACATCCGCCCCGAGGCGGGGCGAGGGTGGCAGCGCTTGGTCAGGGCTGGAAGGGATTCGTCATCCCTTGGCTCGCTTCCTCCTCCGCTTGCCGGCTACTCCCTGTTTCCCTCCCTATTGTTTCCCGGTAGTTTTAGCCCCGGTAAAACCTCATTCAGATTTTCACAAGACAGAACAAAGAAAGGTTTTGAAGTGCCGAGAGGCACTAGGCAACACCCCGATTTGCTTTCCTCCCTCCACCCCCGAAATCTCAGCATCTCCCCCAGTTTTTTCTTCCTACGAACACCGTCTTCCCATAACCCTGGCTCAACAGTTCAACTAAGCACAACCAGCTGTTCCCTTACAAAGCACGGCTTTGAAATGGTTCCGTGGTCCTCCCCGGAAAGGAGGAGGGAAAGTTTCGGGAGTTCTAGAGCCTGCTTTTGCCGCTGGTACGTACCTTGCTGTTGTCGGTGCTGTGCGGGATCGAGGGGGGGCAGAGCTGGCGCCTTCCTGCTGCCGTTACCACGCAACCTCTGCTGTCGTACACATGGTGCCTGCTAGAGGGAGGGAAACACTTTGGGGCTCTGACGGCTTTTTTCCTCCCGTGGCAGCTCTTCAGGGCCTTGCAGAGCAAGCACTGTGTACACGATTGCGTCTGGCTTGTGACGAAGCAAATGTTGTAAAAAGCCCTTGATGATGACAAAGGCAGCTTTAACTTCTCCCACCGAATTATGTGTGTGGCCACTTGGCATGGTTTTGCCCAGAGCAAGGGAGTGGTGGCCACTGAAGGATCCCTCCGAAAATTAGGCCACCACGGTGTTAAAGTGTGGATAGAGATGATGGAGTTTGCATAGTTTCTCCATTCTCCAGGTAAGGCTGTCCTGCCAGGCCTAGGAGGGATACTGAGCACATTACTGCCTACCTGTCACCTCACCTGGGGGTTCTGCATCCCATCTCCCAGCCGGGGCTAAGGCACAGGCGGCCCCCTGCTTCTGCACAAGCTGAGTGCTCACACTGCCCGGAAGGGTCCATTGGGCATACCCCTGGTCGTGTCTCCCTAAAGCTGCTCCTCAGCAGCAAGCATGGGCCTCAGTTCTACACCTCCTCCCAGATTCCTACTGGCTCTTCTCCTCAAGGAAAACCCTGCCATCACTAGAGCTGCATTACACAATAGTTGTGGGTTGAAGTAACCTGCTTTCTTACTCTTCTCAATGGTGTGAAGATGAATTAATGTTTCAATAGTTTGCAGATGATCCAGGAGCAGAAGGACAGATCTATTTTTCCCTCCTGTGCCTGCAGATGCTGACAGATGAGGGTGGAATGATGGCCTGGGAAACAGAGCCTTTGTTGAGCCACAGGAGAAACACTAGAGGCTTTCCCTCCAGCTGCTTTTCTTATCTTCTCCTGGAGGAGATGGGAACCAATCTTTGGGAGAGCTCAGTGAGCTAAAATCCACCTTCCTCAGTGCCCAGACAAGAGTTGAAAGCCAGAGAATTCACCTCTTCCTCATTCCCTCTCAGGAAAACAGGGTCATCCACACAAAGAGTTTGCTGGAACAGTCCTTGTGCTTCTGGGTCTGATCTGAAACCTGCTGAAGCATAGGCAAGAGCTTGGGGATGGCCCAAGCTCCCAGCTTTAGTGCTTGTTAGGATGTTCCCTGGTGGGCAAATGGAGGGGATGCTGTGGCTGGTGAAGGATGTCTCTGCCCCTCTTGCTTGGCATGATACTTTCAGGAAGACCACTAATGTTAGGAATAAAGTTTATGCTGGAAGGAGGTCCACCAGTCAACCAGGCAATTTGAAGTGAGATGCCTGTCATTCAGCCCAACAGCAAAAGTGTCATTTCCTATCCAGCCACTGCTGGTATCTCTCCACTCTTGGTTCCCACTACACTGCACTTATCAGGAGTCTCTAAAGTACAAAATCTAGTGTTTGTTAGAAGTTTCAGAGAGGTTTATGTCACGTGGATCTTCTGTAGACCTCCTGCCCTGGGCAAAGCACCCAATACCCTCTGATCTGTGTTGGTGAAAGATTAACAGGCCAAATAACTATGCCAAAAGGTTTTGTGCTTCTGTCTCCCTGACAACTCTTTGGCTGCCCTCACTGTGGGGACAACAAAAGGCATCTCTGGAAAAATCTATTGCCCTTTCCCCAGCAAGCAGGACCAGGCCACCCTGCTCATCGAGATACACGCAAGTCCAGAGGAAATGACACAAAATGGGACTGAGAAAGCCAACAGCAAACACCAGTGAGAAATACCTGTGTATGTCTTGCCACGGAAACAGTGGAAGACTCCTGACATGGAAGACATGTCCATTTGGTTATTTGTACAGACTCAGGCTGATTCCTTGACTCCTCAAGATTCCTTAAGGAGTCTGGCAGTGACATTTGCCCTGTGTTCCCTTCTTTATCACAGTTTCCCATTACCCTTTCTGAGTTCATTCAAATTTATCTCCTCTTTTTTTAGATCCTCTCCCTCTTTTGGTCTTTGTAGCAGGGAAGGAGGGCATGGTGATGCCCATCTTGCCCCTGCTGCTTTTGGGCACAGCTGGCATGAACATATGAAGTGCAGGTCTTGTGTCTTGGGATCTGAGGAAGTTGAGATGTGTCTCTGCATTTAAGATGACTTTATTTTAAAAACTGAATTTATGCATGTAACCCTAGAGCAAGCTTACAAAAGAATACTTAAATTAAGGCCATTAGTAAACTGAAAAATCTGCCTTTTCCCCTTCTAGCAGTTTCCTGTTCTGTCCTCTCTGCTCTCATGATGCCTCTGTGCATACACTTAAGGGTAATTAAAGACAATAAATTTCTAAGAGTAGTGACAGATCTTTTTCTAACTTGACTATGTGAGCCCGATCAGAAAATTCATTCCATAAATTCAGCTGTGGAGATCAAAACAGTGAGTTGTAAGCATGTGCCCAGCTCCATTTGTTGTAGTGAGTGATTTGTTTATATCCTATTTGATCCATTGCTGGAAGCCATTTGTTCCTTGAGTTTGTGTGCAAACTTGAAGTAAGGCTTTGTGGGGTGAGGAAATGCAACACTTGGATCATTCCTGAAGAGTTAGTGGGCTGATTAAGCACTGAGGAGCAAAGTATCTGAGGAGAAAAAAAACTGCGGAGCTAGAGTGGAGAACCTGACATTGTGGCTTAACTGATGCCTCAGGAGCTAAAACAATAAATAAAAGGAGGTCAATAAACAGGTGCTGGTAGCAAGCTATTAGCGAGGTGGCTGAGCAAGGTTTGGGTTTTTCAACAAATACAGGCAATTGCTCACCCTGACTTGCATGCGTGCTCACATACACATATGGATGTTCCATACTGTGGCAGCTCATTATAGATTCCCACAAGAAAACCATTAGAGAGGAAATTCTTGCTGTTCTGATGTGGTCGCCTTGTTCTTGTAAAAGAAAAGCTGTTGTTTCTATTTTGCAATGGTTTTATTCTTGGGGGGAGTGGAGAGCATTATAATGAAATAGTGCTGTGAGTGTATGTGTAATATTTTATCCCTGTGGATACAGTCTTTCACAGTGGGTCCAGTGAAAGTAGAGCCCCAGGAAAATGGAGATTTCCAGATATGTTCGTCAACCAACACACCTGCAGAAAAAGTACTGACAGGAATTTTTCTCACATCCTTGCTTTTCTTCATCTTCTGCCTCAGCCTGTGGCAGTGTTTGCCTGCCCGTCTGCAGAGGGCGATGCAGCATCAGTTTGACCAGACTTAAGGTCCTCTGGTTTTCCCGAAGTTGCCCTTGGTCACGAAGACATTGCAGGGGTTGAGGGTTGAGATAGGGCCACAGCTGGAGGGGAAAATGAGAAGCCCAGACCAGAAACAGAGGTGTATTTCACAACACAGTCTCTTCATGTTATGTGTAGCAGCTGATGAAATAGGAGACTTCAGTGGGTTTCACTTTCCTGTTAAATCCTGCTGCACAGGAAGGTTTGAATAATTTGCTGAATCTCTGAAGGCCACTGTAGGGACAGCTGGTTATTTAATGAGTTTGAATCAGCTTTAAAAGTCAAGAATGAAATCTTGAAGCTAAAAGAACCCCAACAACCATACACTCATCTGTTTTTCGGACTTAATTTTTCATGTTACCATTGCCTTTTTTGCAGAAAGGGATAGTAGATGTCTTCTGCCAGTAGAGGCATCTCTCTCTAGTCTCCATGAGAGTATCCATGAGAATTCATGGGTATTTGTGCCCATAAGAATCACTTTGTATCCTGGAGTCACAAACGTTGGAAAAGATCTCAAAATTATCATGTCCATCTGTTAACCCAGCATCACTGTGTTCATCACTAAACCACAGCCCAGAGTGCCACATCCACATGCCTTCTGAACATTTCCAGGGACGGTGATTCCAACACTTACCCAGGCAGTCTGTTCCAATGCCTGATCATCCTTTCAGAGAATATTTTTTTTCCTAATATCCTATCTAAACCTCCCATGACACAACTTGAGGCCATTTCCACTCATGCTGTAACTCATCACCTGTGAGAAGAGACCCCCTCACCTCACTAAAACTCCTTTCAGGTAGTTGTAGAGAGTGATGGGGTCTCTGGGTCTCTCCTGAGCTTCCTTTTCTCCAGGCTAAACATCTCCAGGTTCCTCAGCTGCTCCCCATAAGTCTTGTGCCATAAAAATCCCAATGCATCCTCACTTTAATCTAGTTCTTCCTTAGACTATCAGAATTAATTTGCTGCAAAGGTATGGGGGTGGGATATTTTGCAGTCTTTAGGTATAGACTGGGGCCTGTGAGCAGCTTGAAAGCTGAATTTTATTCTTTGTCATTGAAATTTGCCAGAAAGGTAATTTCGTTGTCCATGCAACTGAGGAACGTGCTCAGAATTGTTTTCCTCCATCGATTCCCAGTTTAGTTTGTGGCAGGGATAGAAATGGCAGCTGAGTGTAATCCTGTGGGGTTGGTTTTTTTCCATGATACACTATCAGTTTTTAAAAACTGCTTCTCTTTTTTTAAAAGCTTTTGGTTATTCCTTGTGGCTTGTTGCAGTAGAATAGGAGCAGAGTGTGAAGCACTTGCTTGAACTTTGCACCTGGATAAATTCAGGGAGCCAAGTCCTGACCTTTTTTATTTTTTTAATAAATGGCACCTACATCAATGACTCCTTGAGGTGTTTTGATTCCTTCTCAACTTTACACAAGGTGAACAAGTATTTTGGCTCTACTAGAGGCCTCCAGGTGAAGGGATCTCTAAAAACTTTCCTGCTTTTGGGTGGGGTGAGAAAGGGAGGGCTGGGGCCAGAGCTATGTGGGAAGAACTGGATGCAGTGGGTGCTGCTCACCGTTGTGCTGTCCAGTGTTCAATAAGGAAACAAAAGACTCTCTTGCAGTGACAGGAATACACAGTGCTCTGCCTGCCTTAAGCATGGGACAGGCAAAAGTATCTGTGCACCCCTGCTGGGAGCAGCTGAGGTCACTCATTCTGCTGAGCCTGGAGAAGAGACTGAGGAGAGACCTCATTGCAGCTACAACTTCCTCGTGAAGGGAAGAGGAGGGGCAGGCACGGATCTCTTCTCTCTGGTAACAGTGACAGGACCCGAGGGAATGGCCTGAAGCTGTGTCAGAGGTGGTTTAGGTTGGACATTAGAAGAAAGTTCTTCTTCTAAGAAGGGAGGATGGATGACCACTGGAACAGGCTCCCCAGTGAAGTGGTCACAGCACCAAGCCTGCCAGCATTAAAGCATTTGGACGACGCTCTCAGGAACGTGGTGTGACTTGTGGTGTCCTGTGCAGGGCCGAGAGTTGGACTCGGTGATCCTTGTCGGTCCCTTCCAACTCGGGATATTCTGTGGTCTTGAAGAATGTGGAGTAAGCAAACAGAATATAAGGAATTTAAAAGAGCAAAACCAGTAATGCTCTGGTTTGCAATGGAAGCCGGCGGCAGGCTGGCAACAGAGGGCAGGAAAAGTAGCTGGAGAATGCGGGCATCGATCCCGCTACCTCTCGCATGCTAAGCGAGCGCTCTACCATTTGAGCTAATTCCCCGCCTTGCCACAACGCTCAACCAGGGCACACATATTCACTTCTCGCGAGACGCCGGGCGCCGCCGGCCGTTACACGTCCCGCTCGGGGCTCCCAGTGCGCCTGCGCGGGAGCGCGACGGCCGGGGCTCGGCGGCGGGCCGGGCAGGGCGCGCGCCGGGAGAGGAGGATGCGCCCCGCGGTGAGACCGGGAACGGGGCGGGAATGGGAACTGGAACGGGAACGGGGCGGGAATGGGAACTGGAACGGGAACGGGAACGAGATGGCAGTGGGAACGGGAATGGTGGGTGGCTGCGAAGGGCTGCGTGTTTGGGGGGCAGGATGCGTACGGCTGTGTGTGTGTGTGGGGCGGCGGTGCGTGTGGAGGTCAGAGCAGGGGGCTGCAGCTCCCGGCACAGGCTCTGCCAGGGGCCTGGGCTGGTCCTCTGAGACGCGGTGGGGCTGCTTTGAGGTCAAAATAGAACGAAACAACCAAACAAAAAAGCCCCCCACAAAATATCGAGCCCCCCCCCAGCTGGTGAAGGGCGCAGGAGCCGCCCGGGTGACCCCGGTTACTGTTCGGGGAGGCTTCGCCGAGCCGGCAGCCCCTGACGGCCCTCGGGGCACAGAGCCCGCAGCACCCCCGCGCCCCGCGGGGGCTCGGGGTGACGCTCGGCCTGGCTGGGCAGCCCGGGGAGCCCCCAGGACTTGCTGCCATCCATGTGGGACATCCGGGCTGGATCCCTGCGTATGGCTGGGGCAGCTGGCATGCCCAAGTGCCTGGATGAGCAAACCTGCTGCGGGTAGTTGGTTCTCCCCGCCTTGCCTTTCTCCTTTGAAAACAACACCCACAGAAGTGAAATCTGGCATCGTGGTGAATAGTGAGGTCTTTTCCTTCCACAAATGGTTCCGTTTGCTCTTGTGCTTCAGCTGGAGTAAAGGCAACAGTTTCCCTGCTGGACAAGGAAGGAGATGCTGGCTCTGGAGCAGGGAACTTCAGGTGCCTGTCGAAGTGGCAGATGGGGGCATGTGCTGGAGCCTTCTGGGGAGTTGCATTGACCAGATGGAATTTTGGTGCCCATTTTGGGTACAGGAAAAGGGGATGCCCACAATCAAGGGGTGCATAGCAAAGCCGATGAGGGCATTGGGTCATTTCTCTGAGAGTGCTATGCTGAGGAAGACAAAGCTACTGGTGGCATTTAATTAAAGCTGTGTTCAGCAGTAGCAATATCCAGAACTCAGTTAAAAAACTGTCATTCTGGTAAATATCTTGCCTTGTGCTCAGTCACTTTTCTTCCCCTCTGATATTCTTGAGTCAGAAAAGGCAAACCCCAAAAAACGTTGATGGCCAGTGCAAGATACTTGCAGAACCAAGAAGATTACAAAATAACCTTGTTGTATAACCTCGGTGGTGACTGCTTAACACCTAGCTATGTGGAGGGCAGCGGAGTCCTGGGCTGAGCTGGCCAGGCTGCAGGCAGTGATCCTGGTCACCGAGTCACTGCTATTCCATGAGCCAGCAGGGAATTTGGTGAGAGTGGTGGGACTTGCTGTGGCTTTTGCTCCATTGTGTTCCTGGGTGCTTTACACTTTGCTTTCCTGCAGTGCTTTTCTACTTCTACCTTGGCTGTGTTCAAGCCATTGTTCTGTTGGATTCAAAACCATTCTCTGTTCAATTTTACACCCTTCCTGAGGGATTTGCCTTACTTCTGCCTCCAATATACAAGTTACTTTTTTTGGATGCATTTGCTGAGCTATCCTCCTCCAGACTATGAATTTCTGATTAAATACTCCTATATATCAACAGCTTTGCAAATGAAATAGGTGCAAAACATTATTTATTTATTTATTTATTTATTTAAATTGACAGGTTTCAGGCTCTGTGAATTGGGTCTGCTTTTTGCAGAGTTTGCTTGATAGGTTCTCTGAATGATATTTTGTTGAAATACTTGAAATTTTAAATTTACTCCTCTTTTGTTCTTTTTGACGTGTTGCATCTTACTTTAAAGGGCCTGTGAAGCATGACCTCAGAGCTCTTCAGAAACTCCCATCTTTCATTTATCATTTTCATGGTTGTGAGCTTCCTTCTGTGTATGTTTTTTTGTTTGTTTTTTTTTTTTTGCCAGAGAGAAGATTGGCCAACATGTTCTGAAAGACATGTTTATCTTTAAGAAAAAACCCAACAGCGACCAAACAAGCAGGCAGCCGCACCCATCCAGCAGCATGATTTCTTATCTCAGAGCTTGACTCATAATTTTGATGGCTCCTTACCCTTATTGTTTTTTTGGAAAATAAAGTATTTTTGTAGATCTCTCTTCCCCTGGGTGCAACACTGAAAAGCATTGCACTTGTGTAATTTTTTTTTTTCTCATGTCCTCCTGTCTCTTTTTACATCACCCTGAGCTGCAGAACCCCACAATCTTACCCCAGGCTTCTCTTCTTATTTATTTTTTTCTGATACGGAGAAAGCAAGGGGATGCTTGAGAGTCTCTCTTGCTGAGGAATCTCACCTTCAGTGCACAGGACAGCGTTTCACCAGCTTGGCTTTGCTAAGTATCAAGCTGACTCTGTGGAGCTGGAAAATATGTTTCAGGCTGTGTTTTGCATAGATGCCCTCAGATGTGAGGTTTCACCACCTGGCTGTTACATGTGTTTTTCCTGTCACGGGGCAGTCTGCCTCTGAATCGTGTTGCTGGGAGCTCCTGGCAGAGCAAATGCAGGGGCAGGGGGAAGAGAGAGTCCTGTCTTCAGCTTTGCTTTGTCAACCCCAGCCACAGCCCTCCCTCTTTTGTGCCTTGTTTGGTTTAATAACAGAGTTGTACAGCAGCTTTTCCCACAGCAAAACCTCTTTTTTCCTTTTCTTGAGAATTAAAATCTCACAAAAGAATGTGTGCTAAGGTGGACTTTGAAACTCAAAGCTTGTCAGTCCTTCACAGTCATGGTGGAGTAATTCCTGTGCTTTCCTCTCCTTCATTTTAATTATAGGGGAGAGTAGTTCAGTTCCCACACCCCAAGCTGTTGGAAGGACATGTCTACGCTCTGCAAATAAACTTTGTGCTTGCTTTCTCCTTTCTGTCTTCCACTTGCTCTGTCAGAGCTGTGCTCCTGGACAATGCTGGGCAAGTATTGTTCAGGTTTTGGTGCATTTCTGTTTTCTCCTTGTGCTTATCCATGCTGGGATGATAGAAGTTGCCTTGCAGGTGACTGGGAATATACCACCTAAAGAAGCCTACAGCTGCTCTGTGTAAAGAGCAGCCCCCACAGATGCTGAAGTTGCAGAGCTATCAGTGCAGCTTTATGGAAGGGTTGCTTGCTGCATCCCCTTCGGCTTTCTGCAGCCTGGGACATCCCACTTGTCCATTTTACTGGGTAGTGCAGGGGCTCTTTAAGGGGCTGGTTCGTGCCACGCTGCAGATTGCTCAGCATGGCACTGCAAGAGCTGCTGTGTGGTGGAAGGCAGATTTCTAGAATGTGAAAGATGCTCTCATGTGCTGAGGGTAGCAGTCTCGGCTGGTTTGCTACCATGCACCTCCCCGTTTGAAGTAGCAGTGGGTATTTCTGAAGCAAGTACTCGGACTGGAGTGCTTGCACTGATTTTCAAGGTGGGTGGGTGGGTGCTCTCCGTAGCTGTGGGTTTGCTTTGATACCCTCAGCTTAAGGTATTTGCAGAGGGACGGGTGTAGATTGTCCCCACTAAGTGTCTGCTCGAGCGCCAGCCACGCTTGCCGGCTCCGCGTCCCGCCGGGTTGCTCCTGCGCGTGCCATCCCCCTCTGCACTGCAGAAGAGCTAAATCGGGGTTGGAAGAGAGCTGGCAAGAAGCCTGGATGTTCCTAGAAAGATATTGATTGCCCTGGACAGTTCGGGGTTGTTCCTTTTGTTTTCCTGGTTCTCGTCACGGGGTCGGGCTCGTTCGGGTGGCAGTTTGCTGGAGGATGGAGAAACAGTGCCGGCTTTGCGGGCTGGGGCTGGAGCACAGCCATCCCAGCCCGCCTCTTTCAAGTGTTAAGTCTGAAGCAGCCTGCCTGGTAATTCCATTAATGAGAGCCTAGTGCCAGAGAGATAAATGTAATTCCACGGTAAAGCTGACGCTCGGGCTCAAACAGAGAGGATTTGCTGGTTCTCCCGGGTGCACTGCTGTGAGTAATGTACTCCAGTATTACCTACAAACGATGTTTAAAGTCTACAAGTCACTGCAAAGACTGGGCAGTGATAAAAAAATCTGCTGCTAAATCTTCATGTGAGGAAATCCTTAGCTCCAGAGCTTAGCTGTCTCTGCAATGGGTTTTACAGGGAATAAAAGTTTCCTGCTTAACTCCTGACGTGCAGGATGACACCATGCTGAGCAGCCAGCTGATCCAGGAGACAGCTTGCATGGGCTACAGCCAGAATGAGCTCTCTGTGTATAATCAATGCAGAACAGAAATTATATACCCTGTGTGTGTGTCACACCAGAAAGCTTGCAAGCACCCCAGAGCCAGCCACCACAATTGGAAGTAGCACAAGCTTCTCTAAATTTTTGGCGATGAGATGCATGCTTGAATTCAGAGCTAACGGTCCTGGCTAGCTGTTTTTTTTAGTTTGATCTCTTTTTGAAATATTTTTTTTTCTGATTTCTCACTTCCCTTAATTTGATTCACAGATCACATCTTCCTTGTTTGCAGTTGTGTAATGCCGTTGCAGCACCATCATTAAGTCTTATGTTGAAAATGAATGGTTAATTGGAATATTTTTAGCTCTCCTTGTGGCTTGGATCCTGGAAACCAAACACAGGAGCCAGCACCATTCAGCTTTCTGCAGAGGAGCTTCCCATGCAGGCAGCAGCTGAGCAGTTGTGTCTGGCAGGGTGGGAGCTCACAGTGCCTGTGAGCCCCAGTGATGTGGTAGCCTGGAGTTCAAGCAAACAAATAATTTGCCTCATCTTTTGGAGCTCAGTGAAGGATTTTCCTTGTCATCAGTCCAAGGGGGGGAAAAGTTCAATGTAGAAGAAGCAGGTGCTGGGGATGCTTAGCCCCTTGTGTGTCCCCAGCACTCCAGCTTTGCCTGAGTGCCCATCAGTACACATCTGATCTCCTTAGTTAGGACCTGGATCCCTGCTGGTTTCCTGACAGCAAAAATAAAGCCGACTTGCTCAAAATGCTTGTTGGTGTATTCAGCAGCTTGCTGGTGCCTCCTGCTGTAAGAGGTGTTGGGGGACAGTGGCT